CTGGCCAGCACCGGCATCGGACAGCGGAGAGAAGTCTCCAGCAAATGGTGCTGTGGGCGGTCGGCCCCGCTGGACCCGGGACGGCAGGGAGTCGTGGAAGGACGCCGGCAGGCAGGCCTTACTGAAGGGGCCCTGGGACACACAAATAACTACGCTACCGAGGAACCCCACATACTTACACTATGGCTGGAGTGATGATAGCTGAAGTGAAGCATGTGGGAATGCTGTTGGTGGCCGTTCCCTGCGCACCCCCTGTGGTGTCGAGACAGTGCCACGCCAGCTATGCCCTGCGCCATGGGCCGCATAGACGCCGCGCTCGGGGGCCAGCGCACCCCCTGTGGTGTCGAGGAAATTGAAATGGCCAGCGAAAGATCCTCACCCCTGCGGGTCGTGCTGTGCTGTGCTGTGCTGTGCTGTGCTGTGCTGTGCTGTGCTGTGCTGTGTGTGTGTGCTGTGTGCTGTGCTGAGCTGTGCTGTGCTCTGCTGCGCTATGGTGCGCTGTGCTGTGTGACGCGGGAGAGGGTGTGACCGAGGAACGCGGGTGACGCGGGTGAAGGGAAAATCATAACCCCACGAAACAGATGGGGAAATAGACACAAATAAAAGGATTCCCCATATGTTCCCATAGTTTCTCTGTTTTTGTCTTCCCCCCCACTTCCCATATTTCCCGACATTTTCCTGGGGATCGTCCATTCATTGTGTCTGTGTGTTTTAGCCCCTCCTGACTTACCCAGAGCTGCAGGACGGCAGTAGCATCGCCCCGACGGGCCGCCCGGGCAGCCTGAGGGCCGAGCGCACGGACCCGTCGCTGGCTGCAAGGGTGCAGACATTCGAGAGAATACCTACCTCTTCGGGGGCCCACGAGCCGTGTGGTGACGGGCCGCGTGGCGACCTCGGGATCCCCAACGACCTCACCGCGCGGTCCGTCACAGCACGGTCTCGGGGCCCTGGAGGCCCCAGTCGTCCGAGGCACCCCAGGAGAACGACCCGAGTCCCAAAACAGCGCGGTGACCCCGACTCCCGACGGACAAACCACGCGGTGTTGTCACCACACCATCTGGTGGCCCCCGAACCTCGGGAGGATGCCGGGCGAACTGGACTTTCGAGAGAAGCCGGGGCCAGGACCTGAAAACTGTTCTCCACCTCTGGAGCCTCGCCCGCAACTGCTGCTCCTCCCCTCCTCCGTTCCGAAAGCGATCCAAGCTGCAGATAGCCTGGAGTGCCCGAAAAGTGCCCCAAGACGGCCCCAGAGGGCCCCCCTCCAGTCTTCCCCCAATGGTTCCCATGACGCCTGGGGGAATGCGCAGTCGATGACCTTTCGAGATTTCACGACAAGGGCGCTCCCAAAAGGCATGGGCAGAGGGCGACTCGCTGTAGACATCTTCGACACCATCAACATATCAGACTAAATCAAGAGACGCCCGCGGAGATCAGGATGTGTGATGATTGTTGGCAACTGCTGGTGATTGATAGAACGGGGAACGAAAAATCTGCATGCACACATAGAAACCATGACTGCACCAGCGCATGCGCCAAAAGACACGATGTGGCACAATGATAGAGGCGGCGACTCGCACAAAAGCAGACAACACGCGCAAACAGGTGCTGTCGTGCGCAAGCAAACGCAAACATGCGCAACCATCGCAAGCATACACATGCATGCGCAAGCAAGAAAACAAGGACACATGCTAGCCAACATGGACCTGACACAATACATTAATGTTCGGCGCACGTGCAAGATAAATGGTGTACGCTATGTGGTGCCAGCTATGTAGTGCAAGCTATGTGGTGAAATCTATACGGTGTAACATATGTGGCGCAATGTACGTTGTGCACATGGCGTGGCGCATGCCACATAGTGAAAGCTATGTTATGCAAGCTCGGTGGGGCAAGCTGCGTGGTGCAGTCTGCACGGTGCAAAGTATGTGGTGTAAGATATGTGGTGTGAACGTTCTGGTGCGATCTACGTGATGAAATCAACTAATTCCAGTTGTGCATTGTCAACTCTATTCTTCGCACAAGCCCCCCATCCTCCAACCCGCAACTTCCTTTGCAAAATCCATGGGGCCGCGTTTGCGGTGACTTCTTGGCACTGGCTGGCGAGTCTCTGGGTCTCTGCGGCCGCGCTGGCGCGGGCGAGGTAGCGCGCAGAGCGGCCAATAGGTTTGGCACAACTGGTGCGGCCGCGGTGGCGCTTACCGGTGGGAGCTTCGCAACGCGTGTCAGGGGCCGCGCTGGCGCGCGGGCATTTCAGCGCGAATGGGAGACCCAGGAAGGCGCGATATAATGATGACGTCGACAACGGCGGAAACAAGATTGATACTAGCGATAGTGATGGCGACGATGACGACGACAGCGGCAAGGCCGATGGTGGCGCCGATACTGGTGACGACGATGACGATGATGATCGACCGTATCTAGGCGTGGTTCGTCCACAGCTGCCTACTTAAAAGTAGCGTGCCGCGCAGCAGCTAGGACACCGTTGAGCAGCTCAGAACTGAGCGGCTGGCCAAAGGCACGGGTTGCCTTGACTTTGTGATACACATGGAACGCCAGGACACACAGCGTGAGGGCTGACGCACGGCTCATCGCACAATTGGCGGTATTGTAATCGTTGGGGGCCGCAAGGCCCAGCAGATGAATGGGAGAGGACGGAAGTCGAGGAGACGACGCATGACAGGAGCCGAGGAAGTCGAGGTAGTGAGAAATCGCATCGGGCGCATCGGCACAGCCCAGCAGGCAGGAGGTGGTGCCGCAAACGTGCATTCGGGACGACGTGGTCCAGCCTCCCGCGAGCGTCTTCAAAATAGACCATTGCCACGCTGGGCGAAACGTGCGCAGAGTCTCGAGGCACTCCCCCCACCGCTCCCCGACCGTCCCCTCGACCAGCTGCAGCAAGCCCCAAGCACGCAGGCGCTTGGCAATAGCGCAGTGGAACTCAGCGCGACAGAGAGAGCGTCGGAGCGAGGAGGAGAAGATCCTTTGCACTTTCGCCTTGCGTCCAGTAGCCTGGGCGTTACTGAGCTCTTCGCGCGCAGCAGTCGCGGCGGCATGCCAGTTCAGATCAGAGACACCTACATCAGGCGAGTGATCCGCCATGGCGTGGAAGCGCTGCACAATGCCCTGCCGAATGCGCCAGTAGGGAGCACTCCACTCGCCCCGCAGCCACGCAATTAGCGGCAGGTCTTGAACCGCCTGCTCCGACCAAGCAAGAAATCCACTGTGCCAGGCAGACAAAGTGTGGCAAGCACAGCGCCAGAGACTGGAGACGCTGAGCAGCTGTACAGAGGGAGGCGCGATGAGAGCATGCTCTTTGAATGCGAACAGATCGGCTTTACGAAACGTGCTAGGCGGCAAGCGAAGAACTTTGTGCAGGGCAAACTTCTCTTTGTGCAGAACCCAACGAGGGATGGGGTAGAGCTGCGCGAGATCGCTGAGCACCGAGATAGCACGATGACGATGATGATGATGATGATGATGATGATGATGATGATGATGATGATGATGATGATGATGATGATGATGATGATGCTGTCCACTGGTTGACTGGTGATGACGACAATGGCGGCGACCGACGATGGCGAAAACGGCGGTGATGCGATGGCGCTGATGAGGGTGATGATGAGGAAGGACGCGCGCGCAGAAAATATGTATACCTTTCGTTCAGACGTGTTGTTCAAACACACTTGTGCTTGAAGGGCTCTATCTTGGAACGCTTCGAACACCAATGGTTGTGAAAGGATGTCGGCACGCGCCCGCATGGCGTTATGTGTTACGGATTCGCGCGCTGGGCGCATGCTGGATCAACGCGATTGCAGCGCGCGAAGAAATGAGAACGCGGCTCAGCACGCAATATATATATAAACAGATAGCTCTCCTATGACGCATGTCAATGCGCGCGGGCAGTAAATCTGCAACATTCGCGTTTCAATGAACGTGTTTTGACATATGTACGCTGGCATGCTTGCATGAACCCGGCGCGACCCCGATTATGTGAAAGCTTCCTGCTTCATGGGCGCAGTGCTTGGCATTGCTTGATTGTTTGGCATTGTTTGGCCTTGCTTGGCAATTATTTGCATTGTTCGGCATTGTTTGGCGTCGCTTCGCATTGCTTGGAACTGTTCGGCATTGCTTGGCATTGCTTTGCATTGCTTGGCCTTGTTTAGCGTTTCCTTGTGGGAATGGTAGCCTCGCGACCGGACGGATGGCACCCTCGGAGCCCTCGGGGGCGCTTGAACCATGCGGCTGCGAGCATCATCGAACGCGTGACATGGTGGAGACTGACGTGGTTTCATGATTGCATGTGCGTGCGTCAGCGAGCGCGCGACACGGTCGAGTCTGGCGCGGCGGCGGCGGGGAACGCGAGAGACCGGGGGAACCCGAGAAACCTCCGAAGAACAGGCAACGTAACAATACGAGGCACCGGGGGCCGGGAACCAGGGGAACCCGGGAACCTCCGAGAAACGGACAAAGTAACAATAGGAGGCGCTGGGGGCGGGGAGCCCGGAGAACCCCGAGCAACGGGCAACGCAACACTAGTAGGCACCAACCTTTAGGCAAGCAAGAACTTCTTAGGCAAGCTTCATGGGGATGAATCCAGCGCGACCCCAATGAGGGGAAAAAAACATGTTGCATGGGCGCAGTGCTCGGCATTGCTTGGCATTGCTTCGCATTGCTTGGCATTGGGTTTGCAAGGCACGGGCACAATAAAAATACGACGCACCGGGCGTGGGGAACCCGGGGGACCCGTGGAACCCGAGGAACCCGAGGAACCCGAGGAACCTGGGGAACCCAGGGAACCCGAGGAACCCAAGGAACCTGGGGACCGGAAACCAGGGGAACCCCAGAAACCCGAAAACCTGGGGGAATCAGGGGAACCCGAGGAAACCGGCCACGGAAAGCTGGGGAACCCGAGGAACCCGAAAAACCTACGAGCAACGGGAAGCGTAAGAATCGGAAGCCCCAGGGACGGGAAACCAAGGGAGCTCGGAGAACCTCCG